CGCCGCTTCCGTCCGCTGGATCGCATCCGAAGCTTCCGCCTCCTCTACCTTTCTCACCGCTTCTAACGCTGCTGCCACCTCTGACCTCTCGTCCTGAGAGCTGAGGATCTCGATCGGGGCGGGGGCCGTGACCGAGTGGGAAGGTGCTGGAATGAACTCCGCTTCGAGGGGCTGAGTCGGCGAGATCTCGATGGACGGCTGGGCAGATGGCTGTGGGGTAGGCGGCATCCCCCAGAACTGAGTCGGTCCCATAGCCCCTCCGCGTTCCCACATAGACGCAGGCACTGTCGCTGGTTGCGCTGCTGGCGACTCCTGGGGCTCCGACGCAGGAGGTGTAGGAGACAAACGCGGAATCTGTGTCGGCGTCAGTGGTGTAGCTGAGTCGGGCGTAGGGCGAGGTGCCAACCCCGCTGCCGAGAAGATCGCCCCTGGGGCTCCCGTGGGTCCTTTTCCTGGCTGATGCTGAAAATGATGGGGCCCCATCTGGTAGGGATCGGTCTGGGCCCTGGGGAGCTCCACGCCTTGGCCCATCTTGCCGCCCTTCATAGCCTCCAACTGCATCGCGATGTCGGGGGGCATCCCTGGTATCTGCTGCTGCTGCTGCTGGTGAAAGATGGCTGCGGCCTGGGCTTGTAGCTGAGCATGTTGCTGCTGGGCATGCTGAGCCTCCATCTGGGCACGGGCCTGAATGGCTTGATCGTGCTGAGCCTGCTGAGCCTGGGCTTGGGCTTGCTGGTTGCTCTGCTGCTGACCCTGCTGCGGCTGCAGCGCCTGGGCATGATGTTGCTGCTGGGGATGTTGTTGCTGACCAGCCGTGGTCTGCGCCTGAGCCCCTTGCTGCTGAGCCGGGCTCTGAGCATGGGTCCATGTATTGCCAGAGAACTGCTGCTGCATGTGCTGACCCTGGCCTTGGAACTGGTACATCAACTGCTGCTGCTGCTGCATGAAGCTGGCCAAGAGAGCTTGCTGGTGCTGCTGTTGCTGGTCCATTTCCTCCTGACGCTTCAGCATCATCGAGAAGCAGTCGGCCATCGTGGCGTTCTGGCTCGGTGTGTACCCTAGGCGAGAGGGAATCGAGCGTCTGGCTTCCACAGCTGCCTGTGACGATGACGGGAGTGACGGCCTGGACCTGGGCGGATATTCGCCCGTCGGCTGAGGCTGAGGCGAAGTAGGCGGAGGGTGCTGCGGGGGCGGGCTGGGCGGGCCCTCTGAGGGCGCCACAGGAGCCTGCGCTTGGCCCGTCACAGCCGCCAAGTAACTCTGCCCGTGGGTCCACTGATGCCTCTGTTGAGGAGCACCATCCATATTCACGTCGCCGTTGGTCGTCGCCTCCTGTTGTGCCGCAGCTCGTTGCGCTGCCAAGGTAGCCTCCTCCTCCTGAATGGCCTGCTCGATGTCCTGCACTGACTGGCGAGACTCTCCGACCAACTCGATCAGCTCGTCCTCCTTTGACTCCAGGTCTCGTAGCTTGGATTGGAGGTCCTTTAGCTGCTCCTCGAAGCGAGACTGACGCATGCGTGCGTCTGCTAGTTGTTGGCCCAGCGGTTTCAAGAGCGTGATGGCGTAGCTGATCATGGCCATCTCTTCTCGCTCCTGAGTCTCCTCTTTGCCTGCCCTCTTCGCCGCAACCACGAGGCGGGCCAGAGTTGTGAGGCGGTCTTTCGCTCTCTTGCTCCAGTTGGCACGGAGGTTCTCCTGGAGCGGGGGGGCCCATCGCTCCCATTCTGGGTGGGACTCGGCCGTCTCCTTGAGGGCGGGGGTGGGCTTGGCGACCACCTGCTGAGTCTCGCGGTCGATCGCCTGAGCCTCCTGCCACGGCGGCTTGTGCTTGTCCCTGTTGCGCCGGGCAGAACGGGCACGGGTGGGCGCTTTGTAGGTAGTACCACATGCACAGTACCAAGAAGCTGCACTGTTGAGCTGTCCGCAACCGCAACGCCAACGCTGGTCGGCACGCCAGGCCATCTACTGCTGATCTCGTCCTGCTTGGCTGAGGTTGCCCGCCGACGGGGCTGAATGATGTCGGGCCAACAGGCGCCGTGCCCTCCACACACGTAGAAGGGTCCTGGCGATGGACCTCTTCTTTCGGGCTCGGCGATGCCAGCTGGGCTCCGCTGGCTGGAAAGTATGCGTGACGGGCAACGGGGTGCCTCGCACGCGGGAAGAAAGGATAGTGGTCAGCCTACGTGAGATGCTGACGCACTGAAGGTCAGAAGACTTGCTGCGGGTCGGCCTCCCCAGGCGGACCCGTCAAGCCCAAACCTTCCTCTCCTCCTCCTCCTCCTCCTCCTGCTCCTCCTCCTCCTCCTCCTCCTCCTCTTCCTCCTCCTCGTCCTCCTCGTCCTCCTCGTCCTCCTCGTCCTCCTCCTCCTCCTCCTCCTCCTCCTCCTCCTCCTCCTCCTCCTCCTCCTCCTCCTCCCCCGTCATCCTCCTCCTCTTTTCGGCGGCGAGCGAGGGGGGGAGGTGAGAAGGAGAAGGCCTTCTCAGAAGCTTCTTTTCGGCGGCGGGCGAGGGTGATGCTGCTCCCATCGTACTCAAGGACCACATCCACACACTAATTTCGAGTACCCAGAGAAGTATGGAAAGAGTGTCGAACGAGTATCGCCTCCCAGAGCCCGGCACGTGAAGACCCTCCGGTTTCGAAATGCTTTCTGGTGATCCAGGCTAAAGTAGGTTGGACCATCATACAGCGAGGGGGGGAAGTGAGAAAGAGAAGGCCTTCTTAGAAGGCGGTGGGACTTCCGAGAAGCCCTCGCGCTTTGTTTGTGAGAAAGTTGCTGCGTCATCGGGGAAGGCTGAGACAACTCCTCAGAAGGCCGGGGGACTTCCGAGTCTCCTGAGAAGGCCCACCCCTTCTCATTTCGCCCCGGGCTCGCCGCCGATCTTTACCTCGGGCAGCAATTTTCGATGTAAGCGATCACTGCTTCTTCACCCTGGGAAACAATTACTCATAAAAGATTACTCCCCACATGGTGCTGGGCCCCCGTTTTGAAGAGACAGCGCCCCGCGTCTAATTCCCTCCGTCCCTCCCCCTGCCCGTCCAGCCCCGCCCGTTCTCCTGCCGTCGCTCTCCCCTTGTCCCCACTCGGCAACCGCTCACACTCTTCGTGGCCCCATAGGGTAACTGGTTCCCCGCCCATGTCGGCACGCCCCTCACACGATTCGGGACCACATAGGGCGCCCCACCGACGGCCCGGTTCGCTTGGGGCTCCCCGCCCATTTCGCCACACACCTCACATGTTCCGTGGCCACATGGAGAGGTCCACCGATTGCCCCAGCGTCAGGGTTCGCATGGGGCTCCCCGCCCATTCATGAAGGCCCCAGCGGCAGGGTGCGCATGTGGCCCCCCCCTCCCATGTCGGCGCACTCCTCACACGCTTCGTGGCCACATAGGTGGCTCCAACGAGGGCACCAGTCCAGTGGCATGGTTCGCATGCGGTTCCCCCAATGTCTTGACACAACCCTCACACGGTTAGGGACCCCACAGGGAGCTCCACCGAAGGCCCCAGTGACAAAGCTCGCATGAGGCTCCCCGCCCAGTTCGGCACACCCCTCACACGCTTCGTGGCCCCATCGTGAGCTCCACCGAAGGACTAGTGACAGGATTCGCATGAGGCTCCCCGCCCAGTTCGGCACACCCCTCACACGCTTCGTGGCCCTCTATGAGGCCTCACAGAAGGCCCCAGCGGCAGGGTGCGCATGCGTCTCCACCCCCATGTCGGCGTACCCCTCACATGTTTCGTGGTCCCACAGGGAGCTCCACAGAAGATTACCAGAAGAACTGCAACGCTCACTACTGCACATGATTGGGCCCTTCGCCAAAATAGGTCTTTACAAAAAAAATTGGGTCTCCACTGCCCTCGAGCGGGCAACCTCGAAACGCACCCTTACTGACGAACGTGTGCATTTACTCACTTAACCTGCGATCATCCGCCGGTCCACTTCGAACAGGGCATGGGGAGACAGGTTCCCCCACTAAAAGAGACCTGGGCCTGGGCTACTCCTAAGAAATTAGCAACTCCTGCAGAGGAGTGCGCGATACCGCTGGATCATATACTGATGGAGTGGCCACGGCTCGTACGAAAACGAAAATGACAATTCGCCAAACGCCTGCACAGCGAAGCGCACTTATGTGAAACCCTCGCTGCTCGGTCTCCCCGTGCCCGTTCCTGCTCTCGCATCCGTCCCTGCTATCGTCGCTGTCCATTTTGCCTTGCGCTTTCTGTTTCTCTCTCTCCCTCCCTCCGTCTCCCCCTCTCTCTTGTTCTTTCTCCCTCTCTTCCTCTTTGTCATACCTCTGCCTCTCTCTCTCTCTCTCTCTCTGTTTCTCTCTCTCTCTCTTTCCGCCTGCATGTTTTTAATACATGGTTGTGCACACTTCTCTGTCTGTCTGTCTTTCTTTATTTCGGCCTGTTTATCTCTCGCCCACTATCCCTCCTTCCTGATCCGAGGCCTCCACGGGGCTCTCCAGTGATTTCCAAGGTTTCCAAGACGGCCCAGGAAGACGATCAAGGCCGCAAACTCTGTCCAACATCCACAAAGAGAGACCCAACACGCGCCAAAAACCACGACGACCCCAATGAGAAGACCAATGAACCTTCCAGAAGGCCAAGAACATCCAACAACCACGGAATGGTTGTCGCCCTTCCAAGGCTGGCTAACAGACCCCGCATCAAACGCAACTCACGACGACAACGACGGCGACTGGCGGGATGGGGAGGAGAAGAACTATGACCGGCGGCGGGCGAGGGGTGGAAATGAGAAGGAAAAGGCATTTTCAGAAGGCGGCGGGGCTTTTCAAAATTGCTCGCCCCTTATGATGAAAGATTTGTGCCTCCGGGGAAGGCTGAGGAAACCGTTTTTCCAAGGCCCGGGGACCCCCGAGCCTTCAGAGAAGGCCAGGTCCTTTTCACTCCCCCCCTCGCTCGCCGCCGATATGAGGGGGCCATTCGCGGGCCGAGGGCACTGGGTTGCCAAGGACGGTGCGAGGGTGGTGCTGCGGC